CCGTTTCACGAGTGCTTAAAACAAATGAGAGATTTTGGATTTTGTTTTTTAGAAAAAACCTCGTTTTAGAATTCGAATATATATGATTTTTCATGTACATTAAACCATTGTATACAGAAAGAACCTTAAAACTTTCTAGAAATGGAGAATTAAAATCTCAGTCAAGGAAGGTACTATCTGTTGGTACACTGACGAATAAGAGCAGAAGTATCTGGATCCAAAACCAAACATTTAGAGTTCGGGAGCAAGTACACAGTACCTTTCGAACCGAAATCTACGCATTTGAAAGAAAATATAAAAAAAGACATAACTATCATACCATATAGCTGGCAACCTGGCAGCTGGTAAAGGTCAAGGATAATGCCAAATTACAAAACTAAACCAACAGGTTAAGTGCGCAAAACAGAAATCTCTCCTTGGCCCCTCCATGGCCTCCAGGACTCGCAGAAGTTGAGAAGAACGAAGAAGCTGATGCAAGGAAAAGATGTGCTATACTCCGTGAAAATGAAAATACATGAAATAACTGATCATGAGAGAATTTCATGTAACGAGGTAGAAGACACCCTGGTAAGATGGCAGCCTTCTACGCAATTAACTGAGTCATTATAGTCATTCAGACCCTAATCCCCAAAATGGTATAATAGAATACCTCTCTAGTGTGGTCCCTACACATGAGTAAAGGGGAAGGAAAAAGCGATTCCTTTCAAGAAAAGGGGCTGCTACAAAGTTGATAAATCCTGAAACATTTTGTGGTAAATGGATCTAAACAACAACGAGCATCTTAGAAAGAAAACATGGTGAAAGTGAGGAAACAATGCAATAACTTCCTTTTGAGATCTGTAAAAAAAGGAACTTCTAAAAAGAAGGAAGAAGATACTCCAAACCCCAGCAAGATTCTTGAGAGAGCACTGCGGATTGTTTGAGCACTTGAGAAAGTTAGTCATCAAACAACTCAGTACAAATAGATTCTGCGAACAGTCAGAAGAGACCCCAACGTACCTATTAACAGACTATGGTGCTACTTTTGTACAGTTGTTTTCAGGTCATTATAAAATTTTATTTAATGAGGCAGCACTCTTGCTAGCTAAAATCGGAAAAGCAATACATCGTGCGTTCCAAGCTCAATCATGTCAAAAAATGTCTGGAACTGCCCAAGTATCTTAAAAAACTGGGATTCAAAAGTAGTTGCTTCACTGGGTTTCAGGTCATGGAGAAATTTCAGATATCGAGGCACCGAAACCCAAAAATAGCCAGCCTCGGAACTATTCCTAAACCTTAAATGGTATAAACAAGTCACAATAATAAAAAACTGGAATATTTTGTTACTAAAGAGCACAACAAATACTGGGAATGTATGCCAGGCATGAAGTAAGCAAAATGACTAATAGTAGAAACAACCCAATGGGAAAAAGGATTTCGTAATCAACAAGGAGATCAAGTCAAAACTATTGTCGAACTCCCGAAATACCCTAAACAAACTTGGATGCAAAACCCGTTTAGAACTAAAACCCTTAATAGGTATATTTATAGGTGAATCAGTTCAATACAACTTAAAAGAAATGTGTCTAATAACAGATTAACTGTTAACTTTAAGAACCTAAAATTAGTGGGGAAAAGGTACAGTGAAAGATGTACTACCTGTTGGTACACTAACGGACGTAGGACGCCAGCAAGTTCAGCAGCAGGATTATTTGGCCCCAAAACAATCCAATCAGAACCCATGGATGTACACCAGCATCTTTCAAGCCAAAATCCACGCAATTGGACGTTGTGCTCATTTCAAGCTGAACGCAATAAAAATTAAAGATATTATGTTCGTTGAGCGACCTGCAGATAATATATGTAGGGTTCCAATCCACTAATCATAGCAGTCCAACCGGAGGCGACCGGGTTCCTCGCTCTCACTCACTCACTCTCTCTCTCTCTCGCTCTCTCGCTCTCTCTCATTAATTTTTAATCCTTTGTACATAGTTTGTGTAAATAGCTGTAATTTAGTTTTAAATATTAAAAAAAAGCAATTTTTGAAAATATTCTCTGTCATTACAAAAGTACCTGAAAGAAATTTCTAGCGAGAACAAAAAAAATAGTTGGACCTTTAGTCATATGGATTTTTAGCGAGATGTCTTTTTTCACCGTCAATATGTATTATGTGCGCAACAGCCTCAAATCCAAAACACTTGTTCAATAGTTTCTCATATTAATCGTTCTCTTCATCTTTGGGAAAGCCCTGATGATGGCAGTATAAAGTGGCGAAAGCTCGGTGAACCCAGCATTTAATCTTTTTTTCACCCGTCTAATGACCTCTGCAAAGATTGGAACTCTACATAAAAATTAAAGACATAAATATCAAAGGAATGTCTTTGAAGCCAATGTTAAAAAATTGTTTGTTTTGAGTCTTAATGATGTGAAGGATTGATATTTTATCTCTAATTTTTTCGTGCCATGTATAACCTGGTTGTTCATTCACGCGTTGGGTTTATTTAAATATACATTTTTTTTATAAATGTCTTGATTGTGATATTTTGGAATCTGAAAGGAATGGCCAATGTCGAAAGTGGAATGTTTCCGTGATACAATGTGACATTTGTGGATCGTAAAACGTGTGCGGCGAGTAAGTCGGTGCAAGTTGATTTATCTTAGACAGTAAATTATACCATTGCCCTAATCCGTTGGCAATAACCATTACTGGCATTAAAAGGTCTATAAAACATTTGATTAACGGCCATCGGTCAATAGAACCGTAAAGCCCAATGTTATAGACATTAACATATCAGTTTAGAAAAACAACAACCGAGTGTCGTAACGTGATTGCGGTTAGTACAAAAGAGAAACATTAACGAAGTAGAAATTAGCTGTATTAGGCAATAAGAAGACTCTTATTAATATTTATAAAGCCGACACTTTTCTCGTACCATTAGCAAGTCTCATTCCGGCCTCATCTCCAGCCAGGGATTCTCCCTTTTTCTCCCCCTTGGGACAAAAAGCAAAACAAAACACCAAGGTGAACGGTTCGCATGTTTTTGAATATTTTGAACTCGGATCGACGTGCAATACCTTTCAAACGGGATTTAAGTTTCGAACAAAAAGCTCTGAGAGGTTTTCCGGATATTCCTCTTTTCTTTGAATAATGTATTTTTATATGTTCTGCTGTAAGAAGTTAAGTAAAACATTGCCGATAAAAAACGAAAAACAGCGAAAACAGGAGGATTCCAGGGCTTATTATCGGCCAGTCGGCCTATTCCCTGTTATCTTTCATAAGTTTTCGTTTCGTGGCCGGCGGATTATTATAAACTAAATAAAGAGTCCGCTATAGGCTAAAATAGTATTGCTAGTATTTATGGACAGGAGAGAGGAAAAAAACCTTGGGTCGTTTTATAAAACTAAATAAACAATCTGAAAAGCTATCTGACGTCGCGTATTTCAATTCAAGTATTCCAATATACTTTTTAAACAAACTGGTCCGGAGATAAAATCTAAATGGAGTGGCTTTTTGGCTTTTCTTTGCATACCTGCATATTTTATTTGATGTTATTTAAAAACAAAAATATTATTATGACGCGCTGTTTTTTTTTCCAAAAAGCACGTGTAGTAGCAATAAAAATAGAACAACAAACTACTCACGATAGTTTTCAATACGATAAAAGTCACGGAAAGCCAATTATCGCGAATAAACGGTTTAAAAAAATACGTTTTGTTTTAAATGAACAATGAATACAACTCGTATTCAACCAATAGAGTCGATTTTTAAATTGATACAGCCACATTATAAATTGCACATATTTTTTAACAAATGAACGAAACCCAAGGGGCTTTTTCGACATGTTATCACAAGTGAAGGAATAAATTTACTCCAGATTCTTTTGGATTGCTCATAGTGAAATTCGTAGCGCATTCCTCATTCCTCTGCACAAATGTCCAGTTATTTTTTACTGGAGAGGAAGACCGTAAAAGACCGTTCAATATTTTTAATAGAAGTTTGTACTTCTTAATCAATAATTGATTTAAACCGTATGAAACCGAAAATTCAAATTTTTAGCAATTAACGTTTAACTTTACATTGGTGATAACTGATCAATGAGAAATTGTCTTTAAAGGTTATTAGTAGGGGCAATTAGTAAGTACCATATCTTAAAATCTCGCTTAAACTTTAGAAAAGAACTTCAGAAACTTGTAAAAGTTTAATTTTTAACCGCTTCTGTATTTTGCTTAAAGTTAAAATAACAAACCTCTAAGTTCACACATGGGCTCCTGCTTCTGGGCGCGCATTTTGCGCAAAGGATACTCGATATGCCATCATGCCTTGGCTCTTTACAGAGAGCGTGTAGGCATATCGCCGAATTTGAGAATGGTTTTCGGATACGGTAGCGAGTTTCTGAGTCTCACGTTCCGCTTTTTGGAGGACGTGGGTTTTTTATTGTATATAGATCTGCTTATGTGTTGTGTGGTTATGGATTTTGTTTGAGTGAGTGCATTTATTAGTGTGAGTGATGAGAGGCTAGTGGCGAAATATAGCATCACCATAGCCCCCCATAGTTGTGAAACGTGAAATAAAACGAAAAGTGAAAAATCTCGAATGCCATGGAGAATCAGACTATGGAAATGCAGAATTTTTAATCCCATTTTACATGTAGAATAACCTCTTAAAATATTGGCGTCTGGTCACACCCAGAAGAAAAGTAATACAAATTTGTTAATTTAATTATTAAATGAAATGGACAAGATCTTCAAAACCGGACAGGTAGCAAAATATTCAGTATTACAATCCCAAATGATCTGTATAAAATAAAACTTTTAGAAAAATACCTTTTTTTAAATTCAATAAACCTTCTAAAGAGAAAAAGGAGAAAAAATTAGATTAACCAGATCGATTAACTTCGTAACGATAAACTGTGATGTAAGAGTGAAACGTGCATTTAAATTCCAAACGAGATGCAGTTGTAAAATTGGACAACGGCTGACAGACGAATTGGAAAACTATAGAAAGTGCCAACGGTACTCACCTGAACACGGCTCTGCCGGGCGAACCCCCAACGGTTCATGTCTGTTCCAATTTGATGTAAACACGTGGGAAAAATGGTCGGTTTTGAAACTGCATCACACGCGTACTCCACAACTTTGCTGAAACAAAGACAATTTGATAAGTTTTCTTTCCGTCAAATATTCAATTTTAAAAAAAACCTGTCTAATCTAATCTTAAAAATCAACTAACTCTCGCCAAGTTAAGCAGTAAATAGTTAAAATATTCATCAACATGTATATTATATGTCAAGGTTTGATTGAATATTGTGTTTCTTATTACATAATAATCTTCTTTCGTGCAAAGGCCAGTAATAATTTTCAAGCTACGGCCATTAAATGGAAAACAAAACCCAATAAAAAATGTTTGCTTGGTTATGGCATAAATGCTACTACTTATTGCAACCCAGAGAGTCTATTGACAAAACGAAGATCAATAAAAAAAAATGCGAACATAACTACAATTAAATATTAATTGGATAGGCTCAAATAAATTTGTATTGACAATTTTTGTGTTCCTTCTATAGTTTGTACATTTTACACTGCATTTTTTTAAATGCCAATTTTTATTTATTACTTGGCTAGAAAAATATGTTCCAACTAGACTTATGCCTCTGATAAGAGCTCAGCCCACTCGTCGATATTTATTTTATGACAAACTGCGCAAATTTCTCGGCCGGCGGATATATTGTGGCTTATCTTTCGACATTATCAGGAAAACTTAGGTTTGGTGAAATTTGTTGAAGAATAAGAGCTTAAGTTTCAAAAATGAAGAAAGTCAAGTTCAATTATTAACGTGTGGGATAACAATTTAATAATAAAAATTAATCAACTTTCAAAGAGTTGTGATTGTTTAGTAATAAACGAATATTTTTGATGAGTCTTGGGAATTTTTCCAAGTATGCGTATGATTTGAAAGTTATTGGGGAAAAAATGTCAATTATACGAGAAGCTCTTCTATATGAATTACTTACTTTATTTACTTAATTTTTAATGTAAAGTTTAAATTGATTAGAATTGGCTCTGAATTTTCAACGACAGGCCTATCAAAGCCGGCGTATCTCAAGGGAGTACATTAGGACTAATCCACAACACTTCTACACTTCTGACATACATACACCCCCTGCAAGTTACGTCACACTTAGAAAAATTATCTTCCCACCAGTGCTCGTATACAGTAAGGTAATCTTACCCAATCCGCTACCTTAGGTTCTACTTGGGCAGCAGTCTTACATGGAACATACACAAAACATACAAGAACTGAACCGAAGATACGGACAACTCAGACGCCTACTTAGGCACCCAAATCCACAATAAGTACACACAACAACCTAACCTTATACAAGATACAATTAGGCCTATTTCGACATACGGAGTTGAGATGTGGGGCTATGTCAAGCCACCCAACATCCACAGAATCCAGTCCTTTCAAACGAAATTCCTCCGCCGCATCCTTAAAGCTCCCTTGTCATAAACCAAACCGACCTAGACATTACATTCGTGATGGGCATGATCCACAACTTCCTCCCACACTTAACTATTAGTCCTCTCTTCAACGTCCCATCCTAACTATCTTCCACGCAGCCTAAAAAGACAGTTGCCTCTTGACCTCCTAACCCAACCCTAAACGTCAACCAACAATCCTGAACACTGAGAATTCCGTCAATGGCCGCCTCCTCCCCCCATCATCATCCCCCCATTTTGACTTGAGAAATATTGAAAACAAAAAATTGTCAATGATCTAGCGTCGGCAACAACCGGGCAAAATTAAACGTTAATCGTTTTTGTCTGAAAGAAACTACAAGTAGTATACTACACACTCGATAAAACGGGTGGTCACTTAACCATTTTGTTCTTTTGCTGTTAGCGCGGTTCTGGGTTCGAATCTCGGCTGCCTTTGAATTTTTATTTGAGAATTATTGTAAAAAAAAAATATTTTCATGAGGTCTGAGGTCAACGACTAATGTGTGATTGGATTTTAAGTAACTAACCCCATGAATATTAAGAGTTCTACTATGAGTATGATTTTGTCTTATAAGCAAGCAACATGCAATATCCAAGAGCAGGTTTATCAAAGACTGGTGTAAAAAATAAAATAGAAGGGATTTTGTCCTAAATGTCTTCGTAGTTGTCCTAGTCTTCTATTAAGTTTAATAGAAGACTAGGACAACTACAACTGTCTATTGAGTCTTTTGTGGAGATTCACGTCACTCCGATGTCGGTAACTGCTTGTTGTTGAAGTACAGCAGAGGGCGAGACTGTTTTTTCAATGTAAATGTACACTGGATAAATTTTTCCTCGAACAGTTTTCCATATTCAATTTTCCATGGAAAAAGAAAACAAGACGCCCGAGAATAACCTGGAGACATGACGTGGTAAAGCTTGGGGCGACGGGCCAAAGACGTTTGCAGAATAAATAAAAAATACGTCTTTCGTTTATTAGTCTTTTAACTGTGCCTGAACGGTAGCCTTTGTCGTATTCTATATTTTTAATTGTTTTTTATTTTTGGTTTAATTTTCCTTGATGATTAGAACTTTTTTTTAGCCTATCTGTCAAGTGTAGTATTTCTATTCCGCCAAATTGTGGTAATGTTAGTGGTTTGAGTATATTCGTATTATTAATGTTTTTGTTGGTTTTCTGAATTTTAGAAATTGAAATTTTTTGTTAGTTTTGGCAATAGTTACTACGGTTCGTGTTTGGTCGGTCGTTTTTGTATATAGAGTTCAGGTCTGTTAGTATATTTGTCGATGTTCACTTGTGAAATTTCTCCATGTTGTGTGCAGAGTGATAAATCTGTATGGTCGTTTCCAATAATTTACTAAATATTAGATAAATGATATTTACGCAGAATACGTCAAATCGAAAGACACGATGTCCTTTCGGAGGACTACGACGACGTCCGAGTTTATTTCAAGTATCCAATAAATACCTCAAGATGCAAATGTTCCCGGTCGAAAATGAGACTGCGAGTATAAAGTGGAAAAGGCCGAAAACAAGGCTGTTCGCGAAGATAGAGAGATCCCGGCTGGAGATTTGCATATACGCCTCATCCTCCGTAACGGTACCTCCGTGGACACTTCTCAGGGTAAACCGCCTCGGGCGTTACCGATGCCCTCGACGTGACTTGGGAAACAAACCTATCACTTTTCTGTTTCACCGGGTTTCGTCGTTGGGAGGCCCATTTCCGCCAATTATTTATGGCGGATCCCCTGGAAATATCTCAGACGACGACAACAGGAAATTGGGGCATTTTTATTGGGGTATCGACTCGTTAAAGTCGTTCGCGGTGGCGTTTCTCCGGCCGACCTAACCGAATGAAGGAAAGGGAGATAACGCAATACGTTTACAGTGAGATCCAGTTAGCGTAACCTCATAGTGAGGACGCAGCCAATAGTATTACAGATCTACTATCGACTTCCTATTATATTTACGCTTGTAACTTACAGTCTCAACTCTTGGTAGAATTCTTTTTACATTTGAATACTACACTCTTGAAAGCTTATAAAAATGATCAAGTACAAATACCTCTCATACAGAAGGGCTCAAAGTCCATCTACGAGTTTGTCGTAGACGATATGGAATTGATAGGAAAAGTTAAAAGATGTAGAGGTTGTCTTCTTGTCATACTCTATTGAAATTGAATTATTTTTAATTATATTAACTCTAATTGAAAATGATTAAAATCAGTTTGATTAGAATTTTGAAGCATTGTCTTCTGTAGAGCAAAAGACTCGATTTAACTTGGATTGAAAAAATATTTTACCTATTTGTGCATTTTTGTCTTGCAAAGATATTTTAAATATTAATTGTGACAATAGATCATTCCATGTTTATGATGAAGTATAGTAAAATGGATTAAGGTTCCTTTAGTAAACCATTTAAAACTGATCAGTTAATAAACCACCGTTGTAAATAATTTATTGCATCTCTTTACACAATTTTTACGTTATCCTTTTCAGTTTCACAATTTTAATTATATTAAAACCAAGGGAAAGAGCTTCCTAATGTTATTAGTATAGGTATTCGGGTAGATTCCGGCACGCGATAATTGGTGACAAATTAAAATACGGCGTTATTATCCTCTCAAATTTACTGCCTGTGGAAAGTGATAATGATTAAGGGTTCATTAACGCGATGGGGATTGGATGTTTTTCAATTCCAGGCAAAATACGACGAATACGACACTTAATAAATATCCTTTCGATGAAAGGCCACCTAGGAGTCTATTTCCTGCGCGGGACTGGTTTTCGAACTCGCTTTACTTGTGGCGTTCATTATTTCCTCTTGGGATAAAAAACGCACATCGCGTACTCAGATGGAAAAACCGACTGAATAAGTGAGATATTCCTCCAATCCCAAAACTGACAGTGTACGCTAAAATTTATCAACTTTGAATATAAACATTCCTAAAGCCTTCTTCAAATTTTTAGACAAAGACGATAAGGAATTCCAGGTTATGTGAGTCTAGGAGGAAACGAACGAGACGATCGTCCCGCCAAACTGGGAAGGGAAGTTATCTCCCTTAGGACCAAGAACTTTCCGTTCAACTCCTAATAGTTTCCTGAAGGACGAGGTTATAAAGTGAGGAAAACGAGAAATGCCCTATAAATTACAAGTTGAAACATAACCCAAGCCGAGTAAGAGATATGCCACTTCTTCATGAAACCACTGAGGTTTATGCCTTTAAGGAGTTGTACGAAGTTGTAAGTGTAAATGAATGACAAACAAGGGAAAACCCTTTTCCCAAGGTACTTGACACAATGCTTCGATGAAGTCGTGAGCTTACTCTTAAAATTAAAATAAACATCATTATAAATTATACAAAAGTTGCTTTAAACTAAACTGCTCAAAAATAAATGGGTATATTTGTAATTTATTCTTATTCTATTAATCCCTCTCGTGCCATTAACTTTTTTTCATCTCAACTAAAAACCTTAATTAATTGGTCAAGCGGACCACGAAAATAGTGAATGAATATTCTATTAATTTTAATTAAATTAACCGATATATTCTTGTTAGTTGGACAAAACAAAGTAGAAAATTAAAACCAAAAACAAACAAATGTTAATCACCATTTTTAATAACGGATTTACTTAATAAT